CACTTTGGGAGCTGGTACCCAGCACTGAAAGAGGGGCTGGTGCTGCCCCCCAGAGAGAAAACTGCTTTTTGAGGGGTTTTGGCAGGGTCTGGCACTCAGCTCGGCAGGAGAACAGCTCCCAGGCTGGCTCTGGCAGATCATCTGAGATGATCTGGCCATGATGAAGACTCCAAGCGTTTTGCAAAAAGCGGGGTGGCGGAGGGGGGGGAAAGACACACAGCTCATCCACAACCGCCTCCTCCAGCCTGCAAAGCGCTGGAGTCTGAGCACAGCAGGAGGCAATGCACAGCCCAGCCAGCGAGCCTGGATGCGGCCGAGGGGCTGCCCACGGAGCCCAGCGCACCCCAGGCGAGCTGCTGCTCTCAACCACTCCCCCTGACCCCGAGGGGGCTAATCCTGCCCCACAGCAGGGAGATGGGACAACACAACCTCGCACAGCCCTCGGAGCCCCACGTACAAAGCTGTATTATAAACAGCTTTTGGCAGGAGATAGCTTTCAGCATAATGTATTCAGCTCTAAGCAGCACTGTCCCAAATTCCTGAGTGCTCTAAGACAAGCTGACGTAGGGAATTCAGGAGAAAGCCTCCAGCCTCTTCACATTTTTATTCCACCACTTTGCTTCTTGCCACTCACAGGCATCAAATCCACAATCGAGGCCAAGCCTTAATTTCTCCCCAAACCAACCCCTCCACTCGAAGCACCGGCAGCTGACCGCGACAGCAGCGGGATCCAAAATTAGCCAGAGCTGATTTGCCACGGTTGCTCAACGGTGCAAAGACAGGTTGGGATCTTCCTCCTCCTCCCCCCGCCAGCTCCTACGTCAGCTCTGCCACTGCAAACCAGCACCTTGGCGTTCTGCCGAGCACGGAGGCGGCTTCAGCACCGGAGCAATCGCTGCCTGCCCGTCCATTGCCTGCAGGTGCTCAGACCCCTCTGCAGGGTGCTGGGAGGACGGATGGGGCTCACGGGGCCCCTCAGGGAGGCCGGGCACGTGCCCAGGTCTGGGTTCAGCTCTGGCGCTCCGAGGCATGCGGGCATTTGTCCTGATTTTCCCTGTCACTTACAATTCCCAGGAAGGGAAAAAGACCAAAAATTGACACTGCAAAACCGACAGCGCCTGGGGGGGCTTCGGCTGACAGCTCCCTAAATGCCAATTTGCACGGGCCTGCATAAAGAGCAGGTTTTAACCGAAGGCGGAGAAATTCTGCACCTCCTCCCCAGGAAGCAGGACAGCATCGTGGTGTTCACTGCGTTTGGGGGCTCTTACTCCAGAGCCAGGGCAGCCAAACCATGCCGGAGCAGACCCCAGGCTACAGTGAGCCGGTGGGCCGAGTGCTCCCAGACTGGGGGGAACTCTGGCAGACCGAGGGGCTGTGCCCAGAACCTGGGGGCCATCCTGCACGCTCTGTCCCAGGACCCTAAGTGGAATGCAGCCTTCACATCGGGGTGCCCTCCGCTCCACAGCACTGGGGATGGATTCCCACCACTCCCAGGGGGATGGCTGCCCCATGGCAACGCCCGGCACAAGGGCTGGAGATGCCGCTGAGCCCCAAACCCACCACAAACACCTTTGCTGCCTTGCCGGGGGGCTTGGGACGAGAGACCTGCCTGCCGCAGCTCTCCACCAGCGTCCCAGCCTGCACACGAGCTATTCAAAAAAATAACGGGCATCTTCGAAATGCCAGGAGCGTCCACCCGCCCCCTCCACCAGCCCTCCACAAGCTGCTGAGCAAAGCATGACTAACGGCCCCCGTGCCGGCTCCTGGCACGGGCTCCGGTGGCAGCCTCTGCCAGCGGCAGGCCGAGCGCGCCAGCGCCTTCGCACGGCCATCCCTGTCCCCACAGGGGCATTTGCCCAGGTGTTATCTCTCACCACGATAGCGGCACCTTGGGTAGGGACCAAACATAGTCTTTCCCCCCGGGGACGGGCTCTCACCTCTGGCATTCCCAGAGACCCTCTGGGCTTGGCATTCGGGCCACGTTTATACACCACTTGAAGAGGAAAAGCCCAGCAAACCCTTCACCGCCTGGGGAAGCTGGTGGGAAGTTTGGGGGATCTCTGCTACTACCAGCCGTATCCGAGCTGACGAACGGGCAGTTGCAGAGAAGGGTGTAATCTCAGAGTTAACACATGAGCCAGCACCTCCCCAGCCTCATCCCCCAGGACAGGAGCTGCCGCGCAGATCCCGGTGACAGCACCGCACGGATGAGCTAATTAAGCCGGTTGCGCCACACAGCTGAGACTGGACCAGCTGCAAGAGCTCCTGGCTTTGCCCGGCCCAGCAGCTCCAGAGCTCCCCCCAGCCAGGCATGCTCTGGCCCACGCCCTGCTGCTGCCACCCC